ATTGTTTTGTACCAGCAGCCTCTCCCTCACTTCTGGTAACAATCCCTTCCCCATCCATGGCTTCTTTTAGAGAAACTGCGATTCCATATATTTCTGGTGGGATTAGCTGCAGAGGTGGACATGTAACCCAAGACAGACAAATCAGAGTCCTTCCCTGTGATTTTTGATGGTGAAGTTGTGAGGGAATAATTCTCTTTCACCTTTCATCACAAGCTTGAAAATATAACTTAGGAGGTCAGCAGTCTTATCCCCCAAAATATGTATAAACCTTGAGACTAACGGTAACACACAAGCAGAAATTAAAATGAAAGTCTAAAAGCAACATGAGAGGCAGAGAGAGAGAGAGAAGGACATAAAGAAGGGAGAAACAGAAATAAGGGGGCCAAATAGTAACACAAAGACAAATCACAAGGGTGAGACAAAGAGAAAGTCTCCTGATGTTGTCTGAGTCATGAAACCATTTGGCCCATAGACAAACCCTACCTCTTCCTTCATAAGTACTGGATACTGAAGCCAATAAATTCCCTTTTTCACTTATGGTAATTTAATAGGTATCTGTCACTTGCAACCAAAAGTTAGGTGGATAAACATTCTGCCAGGCAAGAGTAAAAATTATCTAGTAGATAAACATTCTATCAGAGATGAATAAATAGGGACATTTCCTGTCTATGCATAAGTTAAGGAAAGCAAGAAGTATGTCCAGACGCATTTCCATATGCCAATCACTAATCAGCCAAGTGATCAAAATATTTGTGTGTATGCACATGCATATTGTGACAGAGGGTGTGGCAGAAGAAAGGCATCCTATGAAAAGCTGAGTAGGTGTTATGGGTTAAATTGTTCCCCCAAAATGATACGTTGAAGTTCTCACTCCATTCCCTCAAAATATGACCTTATTTGGAAATAGGGCCATTGTAGATATAATTAGTTAACTTCTAATGGGGTCATACTGGAGTACAGTATACTTCAATCCAATATGGATGGCATCCTTACAAGAAGATAGCCATATAAAGACACATACCAGGAAAAATGCCACGTGATGATGAAGGCAGAGATTCAAATTGAGTAACTGCAAGCCACAAAACACCAAAGATGGCAAGCAAATCACCATACTCCAGGAAAAGGCAAGAGAGGATTGACCTATAGGTTTCAGAGGAAGCATACCCTTGCCAACACCTTGATTTCAGACTTCTACTCTCCAGAATTATGAGACAATAAATTTCTGTTGTTTTAAGCCACAAGGTTGGTGGCAATTTGTTATGGCAACTGTAGGAAACTAATACAGTAGGTTAGAATGAGGACAGATGCATATATGGCACAACTTTAAGGTTTGAGACTTATATCACCACCTGCCAACAATATCCCTCTAAACTGAGAATAGACTTGACTATTTCAGTATTTAATAAGAACATAGACTTTGGAGTTGGGTTTGGATTCTGTCATTTATTAGCTGTATGATCTTGTTTTTTCATCTTTAAATGGATAGGAAAATAGCACTTATCTTGTAAGGTTGCTGTAAGGATTAAAGGAGCTGATATATATATAGTATTAAATTAGTACCTGGCATATAATAAGAGCTATTTAAGTGTTAGGTATGATTATTATCATTATGAACATCCAAATTTAAATGAAAGAGTATGTTCACTAGGATAAAATTGATAATCTGAAGCTGAGACAATTTCTCAAAATAATATCCTGATATATCCAAATATAGCTTTACCTGCTAACAAGAGAATGATTATTCTACATTCATTATACATACAGTACTACAAAGGTTTTCAGTGGTAAGCATGAAAGGCCCAATATTTTTGTTTAATTTCGTAAAACTCTGTGCTAGATCGTTTATATGAGAAATTCTAATTTAGAGAAAATATACACATGATGTTAG